CCTGAGCCGGGAGCTGAGGGCGGGAGCGGACCAGATGTGTGGTCTCCAGTATTGGATCTCCCCTGAGAAGTAGTTCTGACCAATGACAGACAGACAGACCAAAAAAAAACTTTGGGGCATCAGAATGAGTCCATATACCAGGGGATAAAATTATGGGAAGGCCCATGGGCTTCCCATCCCTACCCAGTCTGATGCCTTAGGGGAGCATTAGAAATGTGCCTGTAGAAAAGTAAATGATGGCTTGGAGGGTTGGCGCGGTGTGGACAGCCGTCGTATGCCGTGGGTGGGAGCGTAAATTCGTACGGCCACTTTGTGGGCAGTTTGCCAAGAACTGTTAAAGCTGAAAACAAGCCTGTGCCCTCTGACCCAGCAATTCCACCTCTCTTCCCCAGAGAGACTCTTCCCTAGAGGGGCGCTACCTCCAGCAGTGGGAATGGCTTAAATAAACTATAGTGTGTTTATAACATGAAATACTGCACAGCCGTAGAAAGAGCGAAGTACATCTGTACCGTTTCCATGGCTAGATCTTTAAGATATAGTGCTGAGGCTTCAAGACATATTGTTGTGGAATCATAGGTATATTTTGATGCTGTTGACTTTTTTTTTTTAATCAAAAGTATGTGCTTTAGGGTATAAGCTATGCTGTTATAACAAAGAGATTCCCCCCAAACCAAAAGGCTGCAATGAGGTATCTTCTTTCTCATATAACAGGCCAGAGAGAGGTGGGGTCCAGGGTGAGTGCTGTTCCAGTTACTTATTGCTGCATAAAATGATAACTGCCTACGGCCACGCCACCCTGAACAAGCCCGATCCCGTCCGATCTCGGAAGCTAAGTAGAGTCGGGCTTGGTTAGTACTTGGATGGGAGACCACCTAGGAAGACCAGGTGCTGTAGGCATAAAAAATAAAAAAATAAGAGATTGTAAGCTGACAAGGTCCTTGCAATCTGTGGTCAACCAAGGGTTGCCTTGCCTAAAAAAATAAAAAATAACAAAACAAAACAAAACAAAAATCGACAACTGCATTTTGCTCATGGATTCTGTAAGTCAGGAATTTAGACAGGACACGGTCTGGGTGGCTTGACTGTGCTCTGTGGTGTCCAAGGCCTTAGCTGGAAAGACTTGGATGACAGGGACAAATCATCTGGAGGTTTCTTTACCCCTCTGGCACCTGAGTTGGAATGAAAAGGTTTGTTTTATTTGAGAATATTGATCAGAGTGTCTGCATGTGACTTCTCTATGTGCTTAGATTTTCCATACAGCATGGTGGCCTCAGAGTCATTGAACTTTTTGCTCCAAGAGCAAGTGTTTCAGCAAATAAGGTAGAAACCACATGACCTTCTAGGACTTTTCCTCAGAAATTGTATAGTGTCCCTTCTGCCATATATATAGCCACAACCCTATTTATATTTAAGGGGAGGGAACGGAGACCCCACCTCTCTGTGCGAGGAGTGCTAAAGGATGGGCAGTCATGTTGTAAAACCATCGCAGGTTGGAAGCTCTGTCACATGAGGTCACCTGGGATCCAGGTTGGTCTGGCTGGGGCGGGAGGGACAGTGGGCTATGCCATTTGTATCACATGGCTTTCCATCTCTGGCTTCAAGGTGACTGCACCTGTTGTTGACCTATCCCAGTCAGGAAAAGAGAGAGTAGAGACCAAGCCTTTCCTTATAAAAATGTGGTTCAGAACGTACACCACTTCTGCTGGCATCCCATTGGCTAACTCTTGGCCATACTGCTACGCCTAGCTGCAAGGGAGGCTCAGAAATGCAGTCTGTAGCTGGGCAGCCATGTGCCCAGATGTAACTCTGGGGTCCCGTTGCTAAAAGGAAGTGGAGGAGGATAAGTATTATGGACAATTCGTTTTGGCAACAGTGTATTTTTCATATATACGTATGTGTATTTACGTATATGTATATAGAAATAGATCTGTGTAGAATGGAGAAATACATAGATACATAGAATACAGTCTGGAAGAATGCATAGGAAAAGGTCTAGCAGAAACTGGTAATAGTGGTTACTTCCGGGGAAGGGAGAGAAGACAGGCGAGGGGTGAGTTCAAAGCTGACTCTAGCTGTAGCGTTTTAATTTTTAACAAGGATAATGTCTTCACCTTTTATGTGAAATATGAATTCATACTGAAGAGGGCCTGGCGAGCCTCTGGCTGCTGATGTTCTAGTCTTGGTGTCATCTCCTGTGGTGGGACCCAACACCAAATGGTGCCAGGAGGTCACGTGGCCCTTTATCTTCCAGGAGCTGGCATTGCCGGGACGCTTAGGCCAAAGGCCCCACTTTCTCGAAGCCTGTCGTCTAGTCAGGGGCTCCCTGTCCCCGTCCTCCCCACGCGGCTCTGGAGGGCTCCCTTCGGTACTCGCAGATATTGGCTGTACGTAGATGGCAGTTTCAGCACTGAAGGATTCAAACATGATTAAAATACAGGCGGTCTCTCTTCAGAGTACTTATTAGTTACACATGGAAGGCTGGTCACTGTACAGGGGAGAAAGTGGGTGGACTCTGCCTTTTCTGCGCAATTAACGTTAACATCGTGGACACCATGTCCCTCCTGATGGGACACGCTGAGGACACAGTGCTGCTTTAGTGGCGTTCTTGCACCAAATGCATAACCAAAATCTAATTACGAAGAAATAACAGACAAACCTAGATGGAGCGACATTATTCAAAACAACTGGACTGAACTCTTAAAAAATACCAATGTCGCGAAAGACAAGGAAAGGTCGAGAAACCGTTCTCGACTAAAGGAGACCAGATACGAGTGGGCGTACAAGGCAGGAGACTGAACTGGGTCCAGGATCTGGGGAGAAATTGCCATCAATGGACAGTCAGCAAAAATACGAATTCGGACACTCTTCAAGGTCATGGTATCGTGTCGTATCAAGGTCACATTTTCTGTGTTTGATCATTGTACCGTGAATGTCGCTGGTCTTAGGACATACACGAGGAAGTATTTAGGACTAAAGAAACATGTTGTCTACAAGTAACTCCCAAACGGTTTAGAACAGGAGTAGGCAAACTTTTTTTTTTTTTTTTTTCGGTCAAAAAAGCCAAGTAGTGAGGATTCTAGGCTTTGCGGGCCATATGGTCTCTATCACAGCAACTCCGCTGTTGTAATTTCAGAGAAGCCACAGACAATATGCAAATGAATGGGCGTGGCTGTGCTCCAATAAAGCTTATTTATGGATACTGAAATTTCAGTTTCATATATTTTTCACATGTCACGAGATATTCTTCTTTTGATATTTTTTTCCAGCCACGCAGAACCCGTTTTTAGCTTACTGCCCATACGAAACCACGTGGCTGAATTTGGCCTGAGGACTATAGTTTACTGATGCCTGATGTAGAAGAAGAACACACATGCACGCACACATGAACCCGTTTTTAGCTTACTGCCCATACGAAACCACATGGCTGAATCTGGCCTGAGGAGTATAGTTTACTGATGCCTGATGTAGAAGAACACACACACGCACGCACATGCACATGCACATGCACACACATGCACACGCACGCACACGGGCAGAAAGCAAATATGGCACAGTGTTAACACTTGGCGAATCCGGACAAAGGATATAGGGCGTTCTTTGTACTCTCCTTACGATTCTTCTGCAAGTTTGACATTATTTAAAAAAAAATTAGAAAGAGGCGGAAGTGTCCTCTCCCGAGGCCCAGGAAGGAGAGAGCGATGGTCCTGTAGACACGGGAGTGAGCCCTCAACGACGGGGGGCGTCTGGGGCCAGGGGAGACTCGCTCCTGGCTTTATCTGCTCTCTTCATTTTCCGCGCCCCTCCCTGATCTCCTGGCTCACGCTTCATATCCAGAGACCCCGCTTGGCAGGCCTGAGGACTGGGGCTCTGGCCTCACTCTTTCACGAACCCGTTTTTCTCTCTCTCTGCCCTGCACACGCACATGCACACGCACATGCACACGCACGCACACGGGCAGAAAGCTAAATGCATTTCTGCTAAATGCATTTCTCCACCGAGAAAACAGCCACTTTAAATACGTTCATTGGATTACCGTATTGCATTTCGCGGTTCCTGTCCCTCACAGCGGTTTCTCCAAATTGTTGGTATTCGTCCGAGAGGATCAAGTCTGGAGGGAAGGGCGTGTTTCCTGGCATGTGGCATTATTTACAGTATTCCCTTCTCCCGGGTAGGGGCAGTCTCTTGTATTTCCTTTGGCCTTGGGGCCCTGAGGAGTTAATTCCAGGAATGAGACGTTGAGGGAGGGTTGGCTTTAAGGGAAGAGGTATATTATTTTCTTAGTTGACTTAACAAGAACTGTCTTCATTGCCAGGATCAGGAACCCATTCTGGCCTCGGGTGGAAGGGAATTTATGAGTTTACATAACCGAGAGTGTTGGATACCAGTATGTTCAGACTTAGTTCGATCCAAAGGTCAAGACAATGCTGTGAGAATTCTGTCTCTTAACCACGTCTCAAAGTCCTGTTTGGCTTCATCCTTAGGCAGGCTCTCCCCACTCAGCAGCCCCACGTGTACCTGCCACCAGATTAGCAAACCCAGGAGAAAGAGGGCGTCTCTAAACCAACACTTGCAGCCAAAGTCCCAGGGCTGACTCTCACTGGCCCAATATGGGCCGTTTATCCATGTCAGAACCAGTCAGTTGCCAGGGGATCAGAGGATACTAATTGACCAGGCCTGGATCACATGACCACTCTTGGCACAGGGACTGTTACCTCTACTCAAACCACCTGGACTAAGAATTGACAAGAGAGAGCCCCTCAAAGTCACATGTGGTCGCTCTCATCATGAGGAAGGGTAGAACAAGCGCCGTCCCATGCTGCCGTCCCCAGGTCCAGTCCCAATTTTCTCAGCCACATCATCTCTAATAGATAGTTGTGGGTGTATCATCTTCACCATCAAACTCTGACCTCTGCAGTCACGTCCTCTGACACGAGCAAACCGTGACAAATGACCTGTTCGCTTTCTCTTCTACATCGTGCCCGGCCTCCTGCATCCCTCAGGAAACACACAGGATCTACAGACAGAAGCTGGACGAGCTGACGGCACTCCAGACCTTGTGTAGCAGCTCCATCAGCAAGCAGAAGACCCGACTAAAGGACTTGAAGCACACGCTCCAGAGGTAGGCGCGGCCGCATAGCGAAGGGTCAGAAACCCAGCCTCAAAATGGCTCAGGCAGAGAATGGAAATGTTAATGGAAAAAAAACCAGGAGTGGCCTTAGGCATTGCTGGATCCAGGGGTCAAAGGGTAGTTTTAGGAATCTGGTTTTTTTTTCCCCCCTCTAATTTCTGCCTTCCTCTAGATTGGCTCCTCTCTCAGGCCGGCTGTCCACTCATGGTCACCGAGCTGGCCTCCAGCCTTTCTTCCTACTGGCTTGGCCAGCCCAGCAGAAGTTCTGGGTGTGATCCTCATTGGTTGGAACTGGTCATGTGCCCACCTGTGAAGCAATCACTGAGTAGACCGGTTAGGCAAGACTAGGTTATATGCTCAGTTTATGGACCTGGGGGATGGGACAGGCCTCGAGCCTGTCGGAGGCGGGATGAGGATGAGAGGTAGTTGCCCAGAAGAAAGTTGTTATAAGAAGTCCCGCTGGGCAGATGAGCAGTGAGGATCCTTCTCATGGATGTCAGGGCTCCCCCAGGTTCACTGGGGCAGCGGGGGAGAAGTCTGGCTTTCCCCTCCCCCTTCCCGGGGACATACTTGAGCTCATGACTTAGTTCAGTACCTGAGGCCAGGATCACGTGTTCACTCCCCAACCCCGATGTCTTTGTAGTTTAGGACAGCCCCTCATTCCCATAGGTGAAGGGGCTAGGCTCTGACCCCCTGCCTAGGTAGGCAGGGAAACAGGCTCTGAGCAGCTTTTCCCAGATTACTTACGTGGGCTGGCATTCCAGAGTGTGTGGCTCCTGGCCAGTTCCTCCCTTCCCTCGTGGACAGTTTTTGGGAAGGTTACTGATTATACCCCTAACCTTGCCTGACCATTTTGGAAATTGAGGCCCATTATTCATGGGGTAAAGTGTGGATGGTTTTATGCCATGACATTGCCACTCTTGGAAGAACATATCTTACTGACGGCAGGACTCAAGAGTCTTTTATCTGTCTCGAGTTTTTGAGCCTTGGCGCTAATGATAATTCTTTGCTTCCGGAGGCTGTCCTGTGCGTTGTAGGACATTCTGCAGCATCCCTGGCCTCTTCCCACTGGATGCCAGTAAAATCCTCCACCCTGTCTTGACAACCAGAATGCTCCCAGACATTGCCAAGTGTCCCCCGCTGAGAACCACTGGGTCAAAAGGTTGACTCATGAGTTCAGTTCTTACACTGAGGACCCCAACTATTCCAAGTATCCACGACTTGTTTTTCTAGTTTTGATAGTTAAATATCAACAAAGAATAGCAGTTAGACCTTGATTGGTTGGTCGCTTATATTTTCAAAGCGCCTTCCTGTCTACCATCTTAGTAATTTTTAGATTATGCCTTTAAAATAATAAGAGCCCTAGTCCCTCTGTGTCCGAGCATAGTCTGCAGAAGACCCTGACACGTAGTTCTTCTCTCTCATAAGCTTTCCATTTAGTTTGCTTCCGATGATTAAATCAAAGACATTTTGGGGAAAAAGAATAGCTAGAAGTATTGCTAGTATGTATCCACTGAGCTTGTACTATGTGTCAGATGTCATTCGGAAGACTGAGTTGCATTTACTCACTCCGTCCTCACGATGGTATTGTCTGCGAGCTAGGCCTGATGTTAGCCCTGTTCTTCAGGTGTGGAAAGTCCGGCAGAGAGGGTGAAGGGCATTCCCAAGGTCATAGGTTAGCAGCGAGCCAGCATCAACCCAGAGAGTACAGAGGGAGGATCGAGGTTGCGAGAAGCATTGAGGCGGAAGGATGGGAGGGCAGTGCCTAGAGCTTCCAGGCTCTTCCTCCAGTCTGAGGAATGCCCCTGCTTCTCCCGCGCCCACGCCTCTGGCCGCAGGTACAAGCGCCATGCCAGTCGGGAGGAGGCAGAGCTCGTTCAGCAGATGGGCGCCAGCATCAAGGAGCGGCAGAACACCTTCTTCGACATGGAGGCCTACCTGCCCAAGAAGAACGGGTAGGCGCTGGGAGCCTACGCATACCCCCACACTCACCCCCCCCCACTCCGCTGCGGGCAGGTGCTCAGGCCTAGCACACCTGGGCTTCGTGACTCCCACCTTCCTGCTGGGGCTTGAGGCTGAGAGGGGAAGGCAGAAATGAGGTGGGAAAGAGAGGCGGCTTCCTCATATGATCCCCCATGAACACAAAGGTGGCTGGCTGCCCCTGGTGGGGGGTGACTGGGAAAGCACACCAGGGGGCCTCCTGGGCCAGAAGGGTTTTATTCTCTGGGCGTTCGTTGCATGGATGTGTAAATATGTGAAAATTTATCATGTTGTATACTTAAGACAGTTATATCTTAATTTTAAAAAGAACCCATTTTAATTGCCCTAGAGGTTGTACACATGCCTTCGCCTCATTGGCTGGAGTTTAGTCACGTGCTCACTTTAGCTGCAAGGGAGGCTGGGAAATACTATCTGTAAACCAGCTAAAATGGGGGGCGGGGCACGGGTCAGTCCCAGTTCTCATGTGTCACAGTCGTCACAGTCTCTGATCAGTATTCTCATGTGATGTGAGGCCCTTTGTACTGCTGAGGTTATTAACAGCCTGTGTTTCTCATTGACGGCTCGGTGTACGCTTAATCAGTTTAAATATTGTTGGTTGGGGCCCACTCCCCAGGCTGTTAAGGATGTGCCGGCCTCACAGGTCTTTCCTTCCAGGCTCTACTTAAATCTGGTCCTCGGCAACGTGAACGTGACCCTTCTCAGCAACCAGGCTAAGTAAGTATCCTGGACTTTAACCTGGCTTTCTTCTGGAAAGGCATTGTGCTCTTTCAACTCCTGGAGAAATGAGACCAAGCTAGAATCTTTGCATGAATGAAGAAAATGTTAACACTTGGGGCTCCGGCTCTTGGTCTTTCTGACACTCTCCTCGGTGGGCAGACCCCCCAGGGGAGGTGTCCTCTTTCCTTCACAGAGTCCATCAGTTAGGTGGATGGGACTGCCTGCTTCCCTTGAGAAGTGGCCCCTGCTCCAGTTCATGCCTTAGCGTACACTTTTCTCTTAGGAAGCAGACAGTCACGTCCACCCCAAAATCTATCAGTTTCTAGGAAAACGGAGCCATGGAGTTTCCCCTGCTGGAACTGGCTGGGGGAGGAGACTGTGTCCCTACTCCTCGGTCATCCCCATCACGCCCTGGAGTCCAGGGACATCAGAAGTTTAGCACTTCGGCCCTCGTTCCCTGATTGTCACCATTCATTCAATGCCAGCTCCCTCCCTTAGTGGGACCGGAAGGTCCTTGTGGGACGTGGGTGGCAATAGGTCAAGGATCAGATGGGGTGAAGGTCCTACCCCCCAGATGGGATATAGTTCTCTTGCTATAAATGTAGTAATAGCTACACAACCTCTCCTGGGGGTGTCTGTTGCCGCAGGTTTGCCTACAAGGATGAGTATGAGAAGTTCAAGCTCTACCTGACCATCATCCTGCTCCTGGGTGCCGTGGCGTGTCGCTTCGTCCTTTACTACAGGTAAGACAGCGTGACAGCGTGACAGGCATGCAGGGGGCAGAGCAGTGGCCACGAGAGAGGGACCCGGGGTCTCTCCTGCACCTGCAGTGTTTGGCGTGACAAGATGTCGATAGAGAAGAGCCATTTCTCATGAGAAGTAGCAATCCCGTCCACCCTACCTCTGTCCATTGAATATCTGCGAAATGGCTACTGGATATGCCTTACAATGTCATGATTAAAAAAGGGGCCAGTGTGGCATATTTATGTAATGGAATTCCGACGTATGCTACAAAGCACACAAATCCTGAAAATACTGTTACGTGAAAGAAGCTGGTCGCAAAAGGTCACATATTGTATGATTCCATTTATATGAAATCTCCAGAATAGGCAAATCCGTAGAGACTGAAAATACATTCGTGGTTACCAGGGCAAATGGGGCGTGACTGGTCGTGGGTAAGGAGTTTCTCCTGGAGCGATGAGAATGGTCCAAAACTAGATGGTCGTGATGGATACACAGCTCTGTGAACATACGAAGAAAACCTTGACTGAATGTGTACTTTAAAAGGGTGAATTTTACGGTATGCGAATTATGTCTCAATCACAGAAAGGACGAGAGGAAAAAGGAAAGGAAGGAAGGGGGAAGGAAGGAGTGAACAAAGAATGAAAAACAAAGAAAGAAAAAGGAGAGAGGCATGGGTCACAGACCATCTGGGCTTGAATCCTGGCTTCGAGACGCCTTGGCCGTTACCATGGGCAGGTTCTCCCTGGGGGCCTCAGTCTCCGTCTGTAAAGCGAGGGTGACACCAGTGCCTGCCTCACCGGGTGGTTGTGACAGTTCAGTGTGTCAACGCTGACCGGCCCAGTGCACGGCGCCTAGCAGTGCTCGAGGGCATCAGCTGGTGGTGTCTGAGCAGGACAAGGCCAAGTCTGGGGGCCGAAGCTGTGCCGCCCAGTGGCGGAGGGTTCGCTTCTCCCTGTCACCCTGAGTGTTCTGCCTCAGCGGAGGTGGCCAAGCACAGCGTGGGCATTCGGCCCACATGTTAAGGGTTTATTTCTTTGCAGGCGCTTGGCTGGGAGTCCAGTCGCTGGTCTGGCCTCTTGAACGTCCAAACAAAGGCTCTTTTAGACCCTGGGCCTGTGCCCGCCCGCTGCCTCAGGCCTGGCCCGTTTCGCTGGAGGGCAAAGGTTGCCCACATCAGCCACGCCTGCTCACATGCCCTCTGGAAGGAGGTGAAAGTTCCTCCTGAGCAACCAGATTGCCCTGCACTGGGACCTCTAGGGCCCTCAAAGGGCAGGCCTGGGGCGTGGGGTCCAGCTCTAGGGATCTCGTTCCCATTTCTCCCCTCTGCAGTGCTCTCCTAGGGGACTTGCAACCCAGCGGCACAAGCTGGGCGGCTCGAAGCAGTGGGCGCTGTCTGCTCCCAGTCCCGAGGCCGGAAGTCTGAAACTGAGGTGTCGGGAGGAGTGAGCTCCCTCCGAAGGCTGCAGTTCTTTCTCGCCGCCGCCCACTTCAGGCGGGCGCTGGCCGCCCACTTCAGGCGGGCGCTGGCCACCCTTGGCTTAAAGCTGTTTCACTCCAGTCTCTGCCTCGCGTGCCTCAGGCCTGTCACGTGGCCTCCTTCCCTGTGTGTCCCTGAGTCTCCTTCGTGACCTTCTCACGAGGACACTGGTCATTGGCTTTAAGGCCCGCCGTGACCCAGGATGACTTCATCCTAACTAATTGCCTTTACAGAGACCCCATTTCCAAATGAGGTCATATGCATGTTTTCAGGGGGCACTAGTCGACCCAGTACACTTTCTGTGGGTTAAAAATAGGCCAGGGAGCGGGGCCGGACAGGTGTCAGGATCCTCTGCGCCTCTCCCACAGGGCGGCCTGCCCTGCCGTCTAACCGTGGACGCATACCCTCACCTCTCCTGGCCCGGGTTTCTTCACGCAGAAAGTGAGGCTAAGGGGAGCTGCTTGGCAGGATGGTTGCGAGGACTAGATAAACGCGTTCAGAATAGCGCCTGGCACCCGCGCGCGGTCCCGCGTCGTTCTGTGCTAAGCCAGGGCGGGCAGGCAGCAGAGCACAGCCTGCTGTCCCGTGCCTCCCAGGAGCAGGAGTCCCTTTCCTGACTGACTCTTGCCCCCTTGGGACTGTTTCCTTGCTGGAGGCCCCACCCAGGGGTCCTCCCACGGTGCCTAAGTCCACAGCTGGGCCTGGCCGGCCTCCTTCACAGCTGGGGGTTCCAGGCCCAGCTCCACCACTCACGAGGTCAGCACTAACTACTGGGAACTTGCATTGCTTTGGCCTCATAGGACCTTGCGTAGAGCCCGTGGCCTGTCTGTGTCGGCTTCCTCCTCTTGCCCGAGGGCCAGAGGACGCCTGCTCTGTCCGCGCTGCCTGGTCTTTCTTCAGGTTTCGGCTGGAGGGTTCAGTGTGTCCTTCTGCTGCCTTCAGGCTGAGGAGCTGCATCTGGTTAGGATGGCCCTCTGTCCAGACGGGGTTTTGAAGCAGACAGCAAAGAGGCGGTCAGCTTGGGTTGGGGGGCTTCGCGTGGCTCTCGCTCCAGTGCTCACCAGCTGTGTGGCCCTGGGCCGCTCACTTCCCCTCTGCCGAGCCTCAGTTTCTTCATCTGTACAGTGGGAAGTCGTGTTCAGTTTGGGCTCCCTCAGAAGACAGCTCCCCAGGAAAAGCATCTGAATGACAGGATTTTATTCAGGAAGTGATCCCAGGAAACACAGGTGGGGAATGGGAAGCGAGACAGGACAGGTTGTCCTGTGGGTACCTGGAGTTCGGTGCTGCCGGGGAGCGGGGGACAGTGTAGAGTGTCCCTCAGTTATGCCACCTGAGGGGCGAGGGCGCAGGGGGGTTTGACCTTCCACTGCTGTTGTTCAGGGGGAGTCAGGGACCGCTCCCACCGTGAATTACTTCTGTCTGTCCCTCGTGCCAAAGGAGGGAGCACAGGGGCCTGAGAAAGCCCCCAGGTGAGCCAGGAGGGGTGGCAGGTTCTGGGCATGAGTGTGCATGTGCGCCTGCCACAGGGACCAGTTCTGTAAGGTCGTTGGCGGGTCTGGAGAGACCGTCTGCGTAGAACACCTGCAACATTGCACGTCACCGTGAATTACTTCTATGTGCCCCTCGTGCCAAAGGAGGGAGCACAGGGGCCTGAGAAAGCCCCCAGGTGAGCCAGGAGGGGTGGCAGGTTCTGGGCATGAGTGTGCATGTGCGCCTGCCACAGGGACCAGTTCTGTAAGGTCGTTGGCGGGTCTGGAGAGACCGTCTGCGTAGAACACCTGCAACATTGCACGTTCTCGGCGGTCAGAGCTGGCCTCGCGTGGCAGACCGAAGGATGGTCCCCAGAGGTGCACACCTTCTGGCACCTGACGTGGCGGGAGGTCTTTGCAGGTGGATTACGTTAAGGATCTTGAGACGGCGGATGATCCTGGATTATCCAGTGGGCCCAGTGTAATCACTAGCGGCCTTATAAGAGGGAGACAGGAGGGCCAGTGTCACAGAAGGAGGCGTGGTGACAGACGCAGAGGTCAGAGTGACAAGACGAGGAATTCAGGAGGCCTCTCGGAGCTCGAAGAGGCACGGCAAGGGCCTCCCCCCCGGGCCTTCAGAAGAAGCGCAGTCCTGAGGACCCTTTCGGACTCTGACTGCGAGAGCTTTAAGAGAATAATCGTGCGTTGCTTTGAGCCGCTAAGCGTGTGCCCACGTGCTGCAGCAGCAACAGAAACTCACGCACTTCAGCGGAACAGAGAAGCCCAGCACCTCGGGCATGTCCCTAAAGTGCCGGGGCCATAAAGCTGTAGTTTTACTTCTCTCTTTACTGATAAGATAGAGGAAAACAACAGTGAAAAATATCCTGGTCACCACCACTCGCTACGGGGCCCGACTGGAGGTGAGCGCAAAAGTCAGGATCTCGGTGGCCCTCTGCTCTGGGGTTCCGTCCCTGCTCCCCTTCCCCGCCCCCACTTCCGTCCAAGTCAAGCAGGACGTTGATTTTCTCAGTTAGGTGTCTGAGACCCATTTCTCAGACTTTGGACACTCTGTGGTGCTTCTAAAATGACCATAGGGAACATGCACAGGTCTTCCCAGGCTGCAAGCACTGTCCTGAGTACCTCACGCATTAAGTTCAGCTGGTGCTCACGGCAGCCCACACGGGGCGCAGGGGAGGCTGCTACTCTCCCCACGTCACGGATGGGGACGTGACAGTGCGGGAGAATCCCTAGCTTGTCCAGGGTCCCCCAGCTGGCAAGAGGCGGAGTCTGGATTTGAACTCAGGCCATGAGTTTGCAGAGCCTGTGCCCGACTCTCCCGAGATTTTTTTTAGGGCTTGGGGCTGAGAGCCCGTCATTGTGTCACATAGCTTAAAAGACAGCTTCCGACATCTTTTATTATTGTTAGAGTCGTATCTTCCCAGGGCCATTGTAGTTGGGGAGAAGGGTCTCCCAGTTCAGGGGCAGAAACGGAGTAGGGGACGGGACAGCGGCGTTTTCCCTCCCCGCAGACAGATAGCACCCGCTGCCGTCACTTCTGTCCCCTGCCGAACGGATCTGTGTGACTCTGGGAGGTACAGAAGCACTTCCGAATTGGGTTGGAGATAGAGCCTTCATCCAGGTCTTGTCAGAGAGACCGGCTGTGGTCGGGGGGCCCTCTGTGGGGCCGTCTGCTGCAGGCTCTCCCAAGATCCTTCACCCGGAGTGCTCACGGAGGGGACCAGCCTTCCCGTTTCACAGACGGCAAAGCCGAGGCCAGACCGGTCTCTGACAAGGTCACACGGAGCGTGTCTGCCAGCCCTCCACTTTGACCCGGCCGCAGCACAGCTCCAGCCACCCAGTCTGTCTGCCTTTTAAGGCCTGCTCTGCCCAGCTCCTGGCTGTGGTCACTGTCCAGGGGGCGGGAAGTTCTTAAGTTCGTCTTACAGACAATTCAGGCCGTAAGAATCGTCTGTAATCGTTCTGAAGTTTACAGAACGTTTAAGGGGACAGAGGGAGTTGAGGTCTTGACAATGCTGACAGTTTAAAGTAGCATCTTGAGTGTTCTGCTTGAAGTCCTTCTGTTTCACATCAGACGTAAGAATTCCGAAGGGAGCCAGGTCGTTGTGGGCTGAATGGCCAGGGGAAGAGGGGGGATCCTGAGCTAGAGCCGTAAGGGCAGCTAGGATTCAGGGAGAAAGGTGAGGAGGGGGCAGGCGTTCTGGGTGGAGAGAAGATGCCTCAGAGGCCAGACCCCCTCTGCCTCCCGGAGGGTTGGGGGTTCTGAGGCACACCCGTGTGGGCCGCCCTCGGCCTGGCCGGCTGTCCTGAGGTGGCGCTGGGGATGGCCGACCCTGGCACTCATGCCTGCTTCGCGCTCAGGACTGCTTCTCCACACCAGGGTGACAGACGAGCTCTTCAACTTCCTGCTGGTGTGGTACTACTGCACCCTGACCATTCGGGAGAGTATTCTCATCAGCAATGGCTCGAGGTAAGTGGGGGCCTTGCTTTGAGGGGGTGTGGTGGGGGGGAGAAGGAACTGTCTCAGAGGGGAGGCAGGTGAGGGCTGTCATCCTTGGCCGGCCTCGCCCCCTTCTTCAGAGGCGTCTGTAACTGTTCATACCCAGAGCGGAGGAAAACTGCTTACCAGAAACCCTAACTCAAATGGGCTCAACATAACAGGAAATTCATTGTCTCATGTCAAGGACAGGTCCGTTGGGGCTGACTTCAGGTAAGGCTTCATCCAGGTGCTCAGCGTCATCAGGACCCAGCTTCTTGCGCTCACCTATGCCTTCTGCTGTGTTGTCTTTATTCTCTAGCTCCATGTAGGGGCATCTAGCGGCTCCGGACTCACATCTTTACTTCCAGCATGAAAGGGCACGTTCCTCTCTTCCCAGAATCTCACTGGGTGCTATTGGCGCTTACTGAGTCACGTGCCTGTCTCTGAACCAATCACTGTGGCCAGAGAATGTGTTGCTACGATTGGCTGGGCTTGAGCCGTATGGCCACCCCTGTGGCCGTCACTGGAAACCTAGAAGCTGCATGTCAGGAAGGGAATGGTTCCCCAGAGGACAACGAGGATACTGTCACGAGTGGGATGAATGGATTCTGGTGACAAGACTGGGTGGTCTCCCATAGAAAGATGAGAGAGTCTCAGGACTCAGTTAGTATCCATGCTTGCCTATTTTCCATAGTTCTGATTCCTTTTTGGGGTGGCCATTTGAAACCTCTGCATACCATTCTTGTCCTTGTCCTTTCCTGAAACAAAAGGAACAACCTCTGCCCCGCTCCAGGGGGCTAGTCAGGAACAACCAGGAGCTATGTGTTTAAGATTGGGACATCTGCCAAAACCCCAGATAATTTGCCGCCTTCTCACTTTTCTGCCCAGTGGTCTCCTGGGGCAGATCCCTGCTCTGCCGGGCCTTTCCCATAGAGCCGTGAGGTAAGGGCCGGGGGGACGGTGGCTGTCAGGTACGTGGCCCTGTAGCGGGCAGCCTTTTAGAAAAGATCAGTGTTTCTCAAACTGCCCTCGTTCCTGTCTCATCTGCACCATTTTTGCCATGTTCATATATCACCTAGATGATAATTTCCCCACATTTTAAATCGACCTTCTCCTTTTTTTTTTTTTTTACTTAAATATTTATTTTAAAAGGACACTTTATTTCACCACCATTCATGGAAAACCAGCATCAACTGCAGGAAAGGGGAAGTAGTATAAAAATATCTTTTTGTTTTCCTTGTCTAATTTTTTTTAAGTCAATCATTCTTGCTTCCTGAAGGCTCTGAGCCTGAGCTCTGCTCTCTCATGTGTGTGTATGTGTGTGTAAAGCCGGAGATGCGCAGATGTCGAGAGGCGTTAAAGATGTCCTAGCATCTAACCAAGACTCCTTGACTTAATCAGGAGAATGGAAGGAGAATGGAAAAGATAATTCAGTATCATCTAGTGCTACACCCGAGTTATCATGCAAAACTTGGCGGTACATGCCCCATGCTTTGGGAAACACTGAAGTAGAAAATCTTACCAAATAATAGCATTGATGGTTCTCCTTAGTTTTAGTATCTTTCTGCTGTCGGGTATGGTTGGGGGAGAGCCAGAGTAGTATGTAGTGGGGAGATGGGCCAGGGCAAGGCCTTCTTGGTGCTAATCCTCTTCCTGTACCCATGGGCTTGCTGTCAGGCTTGGAGTTTCCCCCTTCTGATGGACTCATATTAAGAGTGTTCTGGGGCATGTCGTGTCTCTAATGGTCACTGACACTTTAGTAAGAGTTACTCTGGTCTGCTCTTTTTCTGGTATGACAAGCTGTGGATGGGGGCGTTACCAGAGAGAAAGGAGCACAACGGAGTGGAGGTCCCTGCAAGTGTGGGGCACACTAGATAAAAGGGTTGAGGACAAAGGGAGGAAGAAATGGGGTTCCAAAGGCAAGCCTTATTTGCCTGATGCTTTAGCAGGGGCTTTTGGGGGGGCTTCCTTGGAGCTTGTGCTCTGACAGGACAGCAGGAAGGGTTGTCTCTGAGCTTGTAAAGCAAAGCTGTGGATGTGGGTCCATTCTGCCCCCATCCGTCATTAACTACACATTTATCAAGCGTCTCCTAGGTGCCAGACTCATCTAGGGACTCCAAGATAGGTCACACCCTGTGCCTTTTGGGAACATTCATAGAGTTTTTTTTTTTTTTTAAAGGCCCATTAATGGCAAATATAGTTCAGGAATCTCAAGTTGTAATGGCACCTTTCCTCTAGTCCTGTCCTGCCACTCTGGCCTGGGGCAGGGGTTTGGATGTGGTGGCACCGGGGAGTCTGGAATGGGTGGGGTGGGCCTGTAGGTGCCTCATCTATACAAGAATGACTATGGGAATTGTAGCCAATTTGTGGGGGAGGGCGTACGGCAGGTGGGCGGGATCTAGCTGACCAAATCCCTGACTCATCTTCAACATCTCTTGGATATTTAGCGTCCTTCCTCCCCCAGCTCCTTCCCAGAGCTCATTTCTCTTGGGGGCAGGCAAGGTTTCCCCTCATATTTGGGCTTTACCAGGGAGTAAGAAATGCACAGCTAAGAGTACAATGAGGAGGAGGAAGAAGGGGGTCAGATTGGGATGGATTCTACCTCTTTCATCTCTGAAGTGTCCCAGGGGAGCTCAGTAGCTCGGGGTTTGTACCTGAGCCCATGGTCTTTGTAAAAATGAATCAAACCCAAGTTCTGCAATGAGGCAAGGTCCTTGGGGCTGTACCAGTGTTCTAAAGACAGGTGGAGCTGGGCCATGTGGGCTTCCTAGAGGCTTGCTGCCCAGCTTTGGTCTAACTGAGCCTTTTTCATCGTGTTCCTGGTTGCACCTGAGGCCCGAATGAGGGCTGTGGTCAGGGAAGCAGGCCTAGAGACGTAGGGGTGTGGCAGGACTCCCCCATCGTGGCATAGTGCCACCCTTGCTCTGTGTCTGATGCCTCCCATGTGAGATGTAGCTCATTAGCTCAGTGCAATAAACAAGTCAACTTCCCTTGCAAATTTTGCAATTGATGGAAAACTACCTAAGAGAAGTAAACATGAAGGGGATTTATAGGAGCATAAATAGTTCAAGGAGGTGAAAAGGTCTCAAACAATGTTAATAACCTCCTACCTACCTATTTTGTTGTCCCCTGCACTGATTCCCAGCAGCTCAGGTCAGCATCCTACTGGATCAGCAATCCCAGAGGAGCTTCTTTCCTCCACAAGTCTAGCTGTAGTCTTGAGATAGACTTCTGATTGGTTAGGCTCAGGTCACATGCTCATCCTTGAGCCAATCACTGAGGCTGGAGGGATGCAGCACCCTGATTGGCTGGCTCTGGGTCATGTGCCCAGGTATATGTCCTAGCTCCCCTCCAGTCACCCAGACTGAGTGGGGGAGTGACTTGGTTCCCTGAAAGGAAGTGGAGTCCTGGAACCATAATAGGGGGTGATTGACAGCCAAAACATCAGATGTACTCTACAGTTAATTCTGGGCCAGGACGAATAATGGATTAGGGATCATATTCATTTTCCTGGCAAGTCGGCCCATGGGCACCTGGCTCTAATGAGCTTTTGTAGGGATATTTCCCGGGATACAGAGATGTAGGGGTGGCAGGCAAGGGAGGGATCCTCAGTGTAGAAGCCATTTCTTCAACTGCCCAGATTACCAGAGGCACAAAGCCAGAAACAGCCCGGGGTTGAATAGTGGCTGGTGCACATAGTCGAACATCACTATCCATACATATTCCCTACAAATGTGGACAAAATGCCCTGAAGGGAGGGCCGTGGTCTCCCGGGCACAATCCCCATATACCAGCCAGGACATGCTGTCCCTACGTTCTGGCAGGCATGCACCACTCTTCCTGGGCCATCTATTGTCTGCTTATTAGCCCACTAGCCCCTGCAAGCTTCATTTCTGTGGCAAAACGGGCCCAGAGACCGACGACTGCTAATAAGTGCAGGTTTCTTTTCGGAGTGACAAAATTGTCCCCAAACTGATTGTGCTGACGGTTGCACAACTCTGCGAATATATACTTTTAAATGAGTGAATTGTATGGTACCTGAATTATATCACAATAAAACTATTATATAAACATACACACGTGCACAAAACCTACCCAGAGCCCTGGAGTGTGCAGATGGACCAATGGGGCTGGGGAAGAAGCGACTCCGAGCCTCTCCCAGGGCCGTTGAGCTGTGTTTATTGGTGGCAGCTGTCATTGCTGTGCTCCGGGCACTGCAAGCTGTGAAATTAAAAGCTGCTGCTCGGCAAAGCTGGCTGTCCAGAGCCTGTGTCTGGCTCAGTCCGCTCCCAGATGGAGAAGAGGGCATTTCTCAGGGGAGCTTTGGAGAACAGGACAAAGGAACGTGGGGCTTACCAAGACCCGAGGACTTGCATGTGGCTTTGCAGAGAACTGAGGAGGTTCCAGAGAAGCTTCTTGGGCGTTCTTCAAGCTGAAAGTCTGAGGATGGGGCCAACTGCCTTTTCTATCAGATTAGTGCCGGGGCCCCTCATAGATCCTGACAGGCAAGACAGACGTGGGGCGGGAGAGACTGGGAACAAAGAAGTGGATGGATGTTTTGTCTTGTCCTGTGAATTCACATGGCACCTGCAACCATCTCCTGTCACCTCTGTGCTGGTGGCATTCAGACCAGCTGCGGCTTTCACCAGCCGCACCTCCGGGACCTCACTTTATCCAACATTTATTAAATGCCTACTGTTTACCTAGTGCTGTTAGTGCTAAGAATAAAGGAGAAAGCCTTATCCCTCACCATAACCCTTGAGGGACCCACAGGCCATTATCTGAACACTTAGTTTACACCCAGAACTATTGTGGGCTGCAAAGAGAAGGGATGAGTAAGATTCGGTTTCTGCTCTTATGTCTACGTTCTGATTGAGATGTTTTAAGACCGCGCAAACCCACACATTAGGATGAAGCAAGCGAAGACCTCGGTGACACATCAATTTTCACCTAATTAGTTGGAGGGTTTAGGGAATCAAATATTCCCTACTGCTGATGGGGGCATAAATTGGGATAGCAATTTTGGAGGGTAATTTTGACAAGTCCCAATGAACACACCCTCTGAGCCAGCCATCCCCCTTCTTAGAGAAACAGTGTCATCACACTAGGGGACTTCCACAGAATGCCGTGGCAACATCGAGGATGATAGTGACGATCGAGGAACAGCCAAGAAGACTGTGGCAGAGCCACATCCTGAAATGTGATGTGGCATTTAAGAAGCCAGTGACAGGTCTATAGGTACTGGCCTGGGAGTCAAGACAAGAGAGCAAGTTACAGGACAGTTTTAGCTAAAAAGAAAGCCTAATCCAGCAGCTCATCTCTGGAACCAGCAGATCTCCAGTGTTTTCTTCTGGTGGGCCTCCGTCCCAGTCCACTCCTGAGAGTGAGTCCCGGAGGGACGTGGGTTGATTGCTGCCGTGGATGCCTCAGGCGTCCTGGTCACTACCGCTCAGTCCTTGGGAGGACGAGCTCGGCCGCTCTCAGGCTGCATTTGGCCAAGCGCATCCCTGCCATGTAGTGTTCAGATAACTGAGCTCTGGTAGAGGAGTCGGGGAAGGCCAGAGAGGCCTGAGACACTCAGGGACTTTGACAGGCACAGGCGTGAGGGCCCAGTGCTCATCCTAGGCTGCCCCTGACACTGAGGAGGGGGTGTGACAACCACGTTCCCTCCCCAGTGCAAAGTGAGAGCCCTGAGCCGGGGGAGTGCCGAGTTCTGACAACAGAGTCCCCACAGCTTCTGGGCTGGGTGAAATCAATTCAGGGCGGGACGACGGCCTCTGTGACAGAGCAGCAGATGAGCCCAGGGCGCAGGGCTCCCATGGAGCAGCTGCGTCTGGCATGGTGCGACGTGCTGCGTGTGCGGCCCGTCATTTCTCTGTATCTGTCCGCGATGACGTAGGTAGCTGCAGCTCTGTGTAAATGTGTGTGGGTGTGTGTGTGCTGGGTTTATCACTGAGCACCTGCTCGGAGCCAGGTAGCACGGGTACATCGATGAACCAGACAGACAGGATCCCTGCTCTTCTGGAGTTTACATCTGAGTGGGAGAAGGGATTCAGAAAACAAAATGAGAAAAAAAAAAAATTCAGACAGCGGTGAGCACCATGGAGAAGATGAAACAGGGCAGTGTGATCCGGTGTGGGGCTGCCTGACTGTTGTAGATAAGGTGCTCGGAAGGGGGTTCTTGGAGCAGGTGACAGTTGGTCGAAAACTTGAATTTTGATCAGGAGCCAGGCAGGCCAGCGTGTCGGAGCAGAGAGAACAGCAAGTACAGATGCCCTGTCAGGCAGCTCGGCTGCCACGACAAAATACACTGCCCGGGCAGCTTAAACAACAGAGGAAGATTTTCTCACAATTCTGGAGGCTGTCAGTCCAAGACAAGGGGCCAGCAGGTTGGTTTCTCTTGAGGCCTCTCCTTGGCTTGCCAACGGCCCCTGTGTCCTCATGTGACCTTTGCTCTGTGACTGTGCGCACTCCTCCCGTCTTATAAGGATCCCAGTCCTGTTGGACCAGGGCCCATCCTGTGACCTCATGTAGCCTTAGTTAGCTCATCAAAGGCCCCACCTCCAAAAACCATTGCATTGGGGGTTAGGGCTTCAACATATGAATTTTTGGGGAAGACAGTTCAGCCCGTAGCAGGCCCTGAGGTAGCAGTGGTCTTGGTGAGTTCAAGGTGGAGATGACAGGGAGGTGGGGCTTGCAGTCACCTGGAGGTTAGGGCTATGTCCTGAGGGTAGCTGGAAGCCACCTGGAGGCCCGAGTGCTTCTGCAGGCTAATCGGTGGGTGGCTTATGTGTGGCTGGCAGTGCATCTCTGCAGGACAAGGTGAAGGGCCAAGTCATGGCATGGATCTACTTCGTGGCAGTTTCCAGGCTGCAAAGCAGCCCCTGCACACGTCTGCTGGGAAGCTGGGAAGCTGGGGGACACCTGTGTTTCTCCCCGCTTCAGTTCCTTTTCCTTCTCTTGTTCTTGCCAAGAATTAAAGGCTGGTGGGTGTCTCACCACTACGTGTCCACCTTCCTGTCCGGAGTGATGCTGACCTGGTGAGTGTCTCCTGCCTGCCTCACCCACCTCGACTCCCCACGTGGGGACCAGTGGAGGATGAGGGCACTCCGATGGGGCTTTCGAAGGCCATGGCCTGGCTGACTTTGGAGCCATGAAGAAAGTGTGAGCTTAGAGCTGGCCCGCAGGGACCACCTTCCCCAAGCCAGCTGGGGAGTTTCCCGGGGAATGTCCTGTCCTGCTGGCAGGGGCACAAGTGACTGGAGCAAGCACAGGGGTGAGGCCTGTGGCACCGAGGACACCGAGATGCGGAGAGGGGGAACAGATGGGGCTCTGCTGGTTCCAGAAGGGACTTGGAGAGCGAGGGAGTTAACTGGGTCTAGCCCCAGGGACACTGGTGGTAAAGGGGGTAGGAATCGGGGACCTCGGTTTAATCGTGAAAGCTTTTCTTATCTCTTGGTTGGACGGGGTGGGCGGGGAGAACTCTGATCTCGTGGCACACCTGACCTTTGCCTCTCTGCTCTGCAGGCCTAATGGACTAATTTATCAGAAGTTTCGCGACCAGTTCTTAGCGTTTTCCATTTTTCAGAGTGAGTGTCTCTTGCCTAGATTCTGGGGTGGTGGGGTGGCTGTGTCTTTTGTGGGAGGAAGTGGAGATTGGGGGAGGTCCCTGGCCAGCCTGCGGCAGGGGAGGGTCCCAGAAATCCAGAAAAGAACTCTCTGCGCCCCAGATGAACTCCATCCTTCCGCCCAGTCCCCAGCCCTGGGAGGGTGATGGCCTGACCCACCCCCACACCTTGGAGCGCCAGTCACTGCCTTCCCCGCCCACCCCAAGACCAGAACTGGACCAGTGTCGACCTCTGGGAACTGACTGGTGTTGAGGGCACTAACTTTGTTTTCCTCAGAATGGAAATATGTTCTTTTTCTCGTGTAAGAAAAGCTCTGGATTTACATACAATGCCCTGGTCCCAGGGGTCGCCTCTGGAAAAGGGGAGCTTGGAGGGATGGGGACGGGGGCGAGACTTCCTTTTCACCAAGCACCCCTTTGTTCTCTTTGAACTTTATACTGTGTGCATATTGCCTATTCAAAAAGTACAATTTAATTTTTAAATAAAACCCTGGGTACAAACAAGCACAAATATATAAAGCTGAGAATGAAAATTACGTACAATCCCGCCCTCAGGGGGCGACCACTGTAAATAGATCCGTATTCTCTCAAACAGTTGTTCGTCAGCACGTATACACACATGTGCTGCATTATGCACAGTCTACCAACGAGCGACCCCTCTGTACTTAGAGCCGACCTTACAACCTGGGTTTTTTTCTTTTAACAATGACCCTGGGCATTTTTTTCACGTGGAAACACAGTACTCTCCCTCCTGTGACCACAGCATCCCATTGTGTGGCACTGTCTCTTGCTGTCTTGTCATTGCACGCAGCTCCCAGCTTGGTGCTGCCATTCTTGCAAGCACCTTTTTGCGTGCCTGCTGCATGCCTAGGAAAGCTCTAGAAGTTTCTAGAGTACCTGGGGACTCAGTCGGCTCCTGAGATAACCCGCGCTCTCTTGGTATTCTGGATAACAGATAAAGTGGGTTCAGACTGAGGTGTAGGTGTGTGTGTGGCGGCGGGGGGTGGGGGCAGTGGGAGAGGGATGTACCCGGGCAGCCCCCTGCCCTCCGGGCAGGGAGGACCCAGCCACCTAAAGTAGAAGTGACACCTAATCCTCTGGGCTCTGTGCTCCCCCTGCAGGCTGTGTCCAGTTCCTGCAATATTACTACCAGCGGGGCTGCCTCTACCGGCTGCGGGCTCTGGGGGAGAGGAATCATCTGGACCTCACGGTGGGTGAGTAGCCCGCCTGGGGGGGTGGAGGGACAGGCACCGGCCCCTGACCGCTCCCCTAGACCTCGCCCTTAACTCCCCACACTGGGAGCATATGCTAGTAAGGACGTAACGACACTCAAAGCCGGGGCTGCCAGCCTCTACCCAAGTTGCTTTTCATACATTGCGGATTCCGTCTCAGCTGATGAGTTGTGAGGCCAGCCGTGTGCGATGCTGGCTTCTCTCTTACCTTTTTAAGTGTCTGGTTTTTGGCTGTGCTTTATAACATACGTAATGTTAGCCTAGTTCTGCCATGCGTATACATAGCTCAGTGTAGTATGTCTGCACGTGGATATGTCTATATACACATACATCCACGTATATACGTTAGGAACATGTGCGTAACTTTTTTAACTCACAGTGGTGGGGACTCAATCAAAAGCTCGGAGATCCCTCGCCTCAACTTTCAGGGGAAACGATTTTTAATAAAACTCTGCTATCTTTTGCGATGGTCTTTTCCATCGAATTATTCTGCAAAGGGGGCCCCACTTTGTCAAGACTCGACTGAAACGATGCGTTCAGAAGTCCCCTACAGAATGCAAATTAAAGAAATTGTTAAACACGCGCCCGGGGCATCAGCACTCCACAGTTTCCTCGGCAGTTTCCCGACCACACTCAGGGTCGTCAAGCCCACCTAGTGCGTGGCAACTCGAGAGCAGCCGGGGAGCAGCCAGGCCGGTGACAGGTGTTCCGCACGTTCCCTGGGTTATTTTCATGTGTTCCTAGTGAGCGCACATGTGCCTGTAAGAGGCGGAGGCCGTACCCCCCGCCCCGTGTGCGCGTGTGCGCGCCTGGCTAATCTCAGGGTGGGGGGCATGGCTGGGCGGTGGGGCTCGGCGGGGCCGTGTGGGCAGCCGGATCCCCTCACACGGGCCCTTCACGCCCGCCCTCCTCTCCACAGAAGGCTTCCAGTCCTGGATGTGGCGGGGCCTCACCTTCCTTCTGCCTTTTCTGTTCTGTGGCCACGTGAGTCCCCAGGGAGTTTGTGTGTATCCACTGCTCTGGGCTGACCCCTGGGAACGGAAGGTCCTCAGGCCTCTCCCGCAGTCACCAGTCAACCCTGAACTGGGCCCTGTGGGGTCCAGGGAGGCCAAGGGCAAGGGCTACCCTGGCCTAGGGGACCCCGGTTTCACTGAGGGGGGGTTGTCAGTGTCTCAGGGCAGTTGGTACCAGAAGGCGGGGGACCCTGGCCTTCCCACGAAGGTCCCGGGGGAATGCTGGGGTGAGCAGTGCCCTCTTCCTCCTAGTTCTGGCAGCTCTACAATGCAGTGACGCTGTTTGAGCTCTCCAGCCACGAAGAATGCAAAGAATGGCAGGTATGCATGCGCCTGTGCGTGCGCCTGTGCGTGCGCCTGTGCGTGTGCCTGTGCGTGTGCCTGTGCGTGTGGCATGGGGGTGGTGTCCTGGGGAAGGCTGGGCCGGCTTGGGGAGAATTCTCCCCTCAGCCACCCCCTGTACCCTGCTCTGTGAGGCCCTGCTGCCCAGCCCGCTCTGCTCCTGGGGTCTGGGAGATGGTGGGAGGGAATTCGGGAGGCCAGGGAGGCACTCAGTGGAGGTTCACCCCCTCGAATGCTATGGGACTGAGGGAGGAGCCCTCCCCCACACGCATACCCAGGACCCTGCCTGACCCCGAGGGCTGCCCCCTGTCACCCAGTCGGCCCAGATCTCTGCCTTCCGCTGGCAGAACCCCGCAGTTGGTGGGGTTGTGCTGAGGGGGCTCCGAGGCCTGGGGGTGGGGGTGGGCACTTCAGCAGGGCAGCTGATCCGAGCCGGCACAGCCTTTCCCTGCTGCCCCCTCTTCCTCCGGCCCGCCAGGTGTTCGTGTTGGCGCTCACGTTCCTGGTGCTCTTCCTCGGCAATTTCCTGACCACACTCAAGGTCGTGCACACCAAGCTCCAGGAGAACAGAAGCAAGGCGAAGACGCCGTGAGCCTCGGGGCTGTGCGCCTGGAGTCCCGGACTTTGAGACCGCAGGGGATCCCAGTCGGCACCCTCGCGGCCGATTCGCTCCCCAGCAGTGCCAGTGGCCCCTGGCAGCAGTGACCTCAGGGGCCAGCGCCCCAACCGGGAGCAGGGCCGAGGCCCTAGTCCCCCGCCTGGATGAGAAGGATGTGACCCCAGCCCGTCCTTGCAGTGTTAGCCACCCAGCCTCCCTATTTATGACGTATTTAATACCGAGTCCTCCCCACTTCCCTAGAACCTCCGTTCTCCCCCTGCCGCTCTTGGCCAGACCAGGCCAGTCTTCCTGGGGGAAGGCTAAGCCTCAGGGAGCCCCTGTGTCCCCACTCCCGCATTCCAGCCCCTCAGGGTGGGGTGTGGACGTGCCTCCCGGGATTGGATGTGTGACCTGCTACTTACAGAGTCCCAGGCGGGGGTGGACAGAAGCCCCTGGGCGTCCCGCGGGGCCTCCCAGCCTGGGCACGCCATTTCTGCTATAAGCTCCCACCTCCTTCCGCCTCCCCCTGCCGTGGGGCCGGTACTTCAGTTCTCAGAGAACGCCTGTCTGTGCCTCATGCTCTTTGTGCTTCCCAAGTCTCCTGTCCTGGCCACCACAGGGGGAGTGGCCCTACCTCCCTGGGGCCTGGGGTTCTTGGCCCGTGGAGCAACTAGAAGGGGAGGACCTAAAGTGGGAGGGCTTTCTGAGGGTCGCCGGCAGAGGGCGCCCCAGCCCCTGAATCGTTTGGGTGGTCTGAGGACATTTTTCTTCGACACTGAGTTGGGGTCTGCCCTTGGAGGCTTCCTGATCCCCAAGCCCTCAGCTCACCTTCCCGAACCTTGCTGTGAGTACTCGGAGAGTGGCACTGAGCCCCCCTCCACCTCCGAGGTGCTGGAATGTGTGGAAGTCTGAGCATCCTCACTACTAGGGGCTGCACAGGGCAGGTCCGCCGGTCACCTCAGGCGAGTTCTGTATCCCTGGGGAGACTGAAGAAGAGAACGGGTCCGGTTGAATTTTCTGCCCCTCGTCCCAGACTGGAGCCTCAGCTGCCCCCGAACCACTGCCCTGCAGATGCCCTTCGGCCAGACCGCAGCCATGCTTTGGCTCTCAGAGGGGTTTCCATGTTTTTTAGGTACATTTTAAAAATGGGAAATGTCCCTTCCCCTCCCGTAAGATTCCAGATTTTTACTCTCCCTAGAAAAATAAAAAGACCTGGCAGCATGCCCACGGGGCAGCACTCGGTGGGCCGCGCTGCCTGTCTAGGGCGGCATGCTTGCTTTCCGGTCTGACAGAAGCCCCCACTTCCCTTTCATCCCTGCCCGGCTTCCGGCTTTGGGCCTCCCATCCAGCCCTTTAGGCATCTGGGTTTGCCCTAGCCTAGGCCTCGGCAAACTTGTTCCTGTGAAGGGCCAGATGGTCTGTATCACTACTACCTTTGGCCCGCAGTCCATGCAGAAATGAATGGGTATGGCTGTGTGCCAATAAAACTTTATTTACAAAAACACAGCGACCAGATTCGGCACACAGGCCATAGTTTGTTGACCTCTGTCTTAGACCATCCTTTGTCCATGAGGCCTTGGGTTCTGCTAGAACACTGTTGAGTCTCCAGAGCACGGTTGTGCCTTGAGGAACCTAGTTGGGGTCGGGTAGACCTCAGAAGCCTCTCCCTAGCAGCTGACTTCAGAGAGCCTCAGGCTTGGTGGGGGCCGCAGCACTGGGTAAGGTGGGGGCTGAGGCAGGAGCCATCATCCCATCCTAGGTAATGCTGGCCCCTGAGCTCATGCAGGAACCAGGCAGCTCTCAAACTCTGGGGTGTTAGAATCACCTGGGGCACTTGTTTAAAAACTCCCAGACATTCTGGAAGGATGTTCCGTGAATCTGCAGCTGGGGGGGGTCGTTGAAATCTGTTCTCGCAGGAGGCCAGATGTTCTAGGTTCCAGAACACACCATGGCAGAAGCCGTGGCTCTGAGGGGTAAAGGGAGCTTGAAGACTATTTACATGAGCCGGTGTCATCCTTTTGGAGACAGGCAGATGGTCTAGAGAGAGAACTGACTTGCCAGAGTCAGGAGCTGATGTCACTTTTCATCTTGGGTTTCCAGCAGAGGGAGGGCTGCCGGTCAGGAGACTTGAGCAGGGGTTGGAGGCAGGGGTGGGGGCAGGTCCAGGGTGTTTATTTTGCTGAGTTTCTTCTCTTTGGGGACATGTGTGCCCAGCTCTGGAAAGATGGCAGCCAAGCCGAAGGCTGTAAGAAGTCCTCTGCGTGGGGCGGAGGGGGAAGGGTGGGTGGAGCGGTACCAGCCCTCATGTCCGGGGCTATTGCCTGTGTTCTTCTGATAGGCTCGGGCCCATCCCAGCCCTGGAGCTCCCAGGGGAAGGAAGCAAGGAGCTGGAGGATGCAGCCGTGCCTATCTGGGGAGCCCAGGGAGGCTGGTGACACGGGAACAGCAGGCTTGGGGCCGTGGGGAACACTGCCAAATCCACGTTTATCCACATACTCAGTGGAGTTTGTCACTTCAGGAACTGGCTTTGAAGACCTATTGGGTGTGCAAAGGGGGACACACATGGCTGAGGGGAGGATGTGGAGAGGGCATTCCAGGGTCCTGGGGACAAATGCCAGTTCTAGGGTACAAAGGGACTAAGTCTAGTGCCCTAACCAACTACCACGGAGGCTGCAGCTCCAGTGTGAAGCCCAGAGGTGAGTTCATGGTCAGAGCCCAAGCTGGGAAAGGAGCGAGTTCCAGAATGTTCTAAGAGCCTCACCACAGGCTCTAGGCACCAAGCACTGGATACACCCAATTGCAAGTGTCCTTCGAAAGCTAGGGTTGGGGCAGGATCCCAGGGAGCAGCCTGGGCCTGGGGACCCGTCAGTCCTGTTCCGAGGGTCACGTGCCCGCCCGGAGGGGTCAGAGCAGCCGGCACAGCCGGTGCTGCTTCTGCCGCTGCGTTTTCTTCAGGGCGCTGAGGGCCACCTTGGCGGCCTCCCGGAAGACATCCTCCACGTTCTCCCGAAATTTAGCGGAACATTCCAGATAGAGGGCGGCTCGGATCTGTTCAGAGATGCTCAGGCCCTGGTGGGGGGAGGGGCCAGCATTAGATGAGGGGCCTGGAGCATGGAGGCGCCTCCAGATACCGCCTTGTGGGTTTAGGGCTGGCTCCGGGGGCTCTTGGAGCCGAAGTCCTGGTGTGGGGCGCCTCTCTCCACCCCCGGGCTGGCCCCCACCAGTGCGTGGATGGAGCAGAGGGCCTGTTTGGTGTGGCGCTGCTGGGAGACACGGAGGCCTCCACCCTGCCATCTCTCCAACCGCCGGCAGAAACCGGGGCTGAATTCTGAGAAGCGGGGCTGGTTGGGGTGTCTGCCAGGCCCGCGAGAAGAGATGAAGGCCTCGTGCCCCTCTTCCTTCTCGAAAGTACGATTAGGCAACTGAGCTTGCTATTAAAGTGAAAAGCATCTTTAATTCTAAAACAAATGTACTTTTCCTGATGCTTCTTTCTTTCATTAAACTTCATTCCTTTTATTCCCTCGGGCCTCTCCCTGAAGACCACGGGGTTTGGTTTTGCCTGTGACTCTCATGAGTTGGGTTCACGGCCCAGACTCTGGAGCCAGAGTGGCTGGGACGGCATCCTAGCTCCACTTCGGGTTAGCTGTGTGACCCTGGGCAAGCTAATTAACCTCTCTGGGTCTCAATTTACCTGCTGCAAATGGGGGACACCGATTAGTACCTGCCTTGGGGTTATAAGGATTAAATGAGGTCAGTGACATGGGCTAGCAACAGTTAACATTTCAAAGTTATCATCCTTAGGATCCTTTTTGCTCCGGTGGTTCCAGAGGCCACGAGGGCACCCCAGTTGCAGTGGCCAAAGGCCTGGGCTCCTGGCTGTGGGGTGGGGGTGGGCGGGTGAGGGCGGGGCCCCTGGCTGACCTGCAAGTAGGTGATGGGCTCCAGCTGGGCCGCCCGGAGCTTCCGCAGCTGCTCCTTGTCCTTCCTCAGGTCCGTCTTGCAGCCAATGAGCACCATAGGGGTCCCACGGCAGAAATGCGTGACTTCAGGGACCCACTGTGGAGGGAGAGGCCGGGGATCAGGGCTGGGGCCAAATCCGTGGCCCCCACCCCCAGAGGCAGGCTGGCTGGGAGACGGGCCTCACCTTAATGAGGACGTTGTCATAGCTGGTGGGGTTCATGACGTCGTAGCAGATGAGCACAAGGTGAGTGTTCTGGTAGGACAGGGGCCGCAGCCGGTCATAGTCTTCCTGCCCTGGAATGGGAGAGCAGGTGGGGGTCAGGGAGGCACGCTTCCTGCCCATCCGAATCCCCTGCGTGGGCTCAGATGTCCAAGGGGTCGGGGCCTCCTGGACAAGTCACCCCCGTCTCTGGGCTTCAGTTTCCTCATCTGGACAGCACGTGGCAGCCCACAGTCCCCGATGGCAGCAACGATTACACGACATGAAACCCGGGTAGTGTTCAGAGCCGGGCCTGATCACAAGTATGTGCTCGAAGCGCTGCTGCTGGCAATTACGCTGAGGACGGCTAACCCCCGCCACCTTGTCGGGGTGCAGACTGAAGCCACAGCCCCCGCCCAAAGATGCAGTTAACCCGTTAACCGGGGAGGGTGAGCCCAGGCCAACAGGTGGACTTCCTCCCGCCAGTTCTGGCAGGTGCTGGGGGGGTGAGGGGCTGCTGGAGACAACGAGCTCGCTCCCCACCCAGATCCACCCCACACAGCAGCCGTCACCCCCACATCAGACACCTGGGGAGAACAGAATGCTCCCAACAATGGGTCTCTCCCCAGCACCGAGGGAAACAGAGCCCAGTGCTGGGCTGGAGCAGCGGTGGGCTTGTTTTTTTTATATATAAATTTTATATCTACAATTTCAAACTTAACAAAAATTTCAAAAAACAGCACCAAGAACTCCTTTAGTCAGATCCACGGAGCGTTGACGTCTCGCCACCCCATAAACGCTGAACCACAGGGGAGGCAGAGGCAGACGTGGCCTCCTCAGCCAGGGGTCTGTCCGTGCGGATTTCCTAAGAGCAGCAACAGTCTCTCACCTGCCACAGCACAAGTGTCCGGCTCGGGGAAGCAGGACCGGCATGGTGCTCTAACCCAATCCCCGGCCACATTCAGACTCCACCAATAATGTCCTCTAGTACATTTTTCTGCCGAGCCCAGAAGCAGGCCTGGATTGATACACGGTACTTAGTCATCACGCCTGATATTTTTGAAAAACCCCCACAGTGAGGCCTGTGAGAGCCTTTGAGGCTCATGGGCGGCCCCCAGCCACCTCCACAGAAAGGGGAAGTGACTTTCTTCCACTGAACAGGAATCCCCCACCCCCGCCCCTGCTCCTCTCTCCAGCCTGCAGATGCCCCGAGCGATGCCAGCCTGCCCTCCACTCCCCCCCGCTAAAGGCCTCTCGGGATAAGTGGCCTCTCCAGGAAGCATGGAAGGGCCATGTCCTGCTTCTGGCCCCCCACTGATGAGCACCCTCTCCCTTCCCACTCTCCCCTTCGACCCAGGACCCCTGATGATGTGCAGTGAACAGCTGCCACAGTTATGACGATGGCTGGGCCAGGAGGACTGTCCATGCCGTTGTTCAGCCCAAGTCCCCCCAACACTGGAGAACGGGGGTGGGAGTGCACATCCAGGCCCTCCTGCTTTCATCACCATGAGCTGAAGAAATCCTTATCAGACAGTGGGAAACTGTCCCAGCATGCTATTCCAGCCCATCTCCTCCCCCTTTCTGTCACCAAACTGTCCCCTCTTCTAACGTTGGTCTGTGTCTTTCTAGACTTCTACTGTCCGATAGGGTAGCCGCCAGCCTCGTGAGGCTATTTAACATTAAAAATTCAGGTTCTGCATTACACTAGCCACATTTCAAGTGACTGACTGCCACACAGGGAAGTGGCTACTGTAACAGACAGGGCAGGTGTCAAACGTCTCCACCACTGCAGAAAGTCCTTTCGGACACCGTGGCCCCATCCTCGGCCAAGCCACCAGCGGTCTCCCGTGCCACCTTCCCGCTGGTCTCCTGCTGCCTCTCAGTGCGTCCATTCTTTACCTGGCAGCTGGACGGATCTTGAAACACAAGTAAGATCCTGCCCCTCTCTTCCCAACTGAAACACCTTCGGTGTCTCCCTATGGCCTTCGAGCAAAATCTGCACACCTCCCTGTGGTCCAGATGACCTGGGGCCCGCTGGCCTCGACCATCTCCCCCCGGCCACACCGCTCACCCACTGCCATCCGGCCAAGGTGGCCTCCTTGCTGTTTCTCAAACCTCCTAAGCTCTTGGAGCTCAGAGCTTCTGCACGTGCTGTTCCCTCCCCCCGGCATGCTGGGCCCTCATCTCTTCCCCATCTCCTTCCTCGCGTTTTATTTTTAATCATTCTACTATTCTGTCTCTTTCTACTTAATACCACCTTGTGCTTTATATACTTTCTAGAATGCCCTTGCTTATAAATGATTCAGAAATCCCGACAGCAACCACCGGATGTGCCAGTCAGGAAACCTAGGGACTCCCATGTACAAGGAGAGAAACTGCGTTTCAGAGAAGTGACGGGCCCCGCCCCAGGACGCGTGTCAGCAAACGGGCCGGGATTGCACCCTGGCTCGTTAAATCACAAGTCGAGCGTTCCGTCTGCGACAGAATAGCAACGCTTTTTTTCTGCTTTGTACATTGCAAAAAAAAAAAAAAAAATTATGGGGTTCGAAGCACGACACGCGGTCTCACTCCCTTCTGGAAGCGTCACCAGGCCTGCTGAGCTCCCCGTCCTTCCTCACACCTCCGGGCCGACTCCCCGCCACTTGCCATCACCCCCACCCATTTTGCCCCCACGATCCCCGCTCACGGATTTACTCGTTTACTGCCTGTCCCCCCGGGGACTAAGCAGCACCCCAAAGGCAGGCACCCCGTCTGCCCTTTAAAATGACTCCTGGCACCCAGTGGGCGTCCAGTACTGGCTGCTGAAGTTGTTTAGCTCTGGCCAGAAGCAGCGGAGCCGAGGGCTGAGACCGGCCACTGGGTTTGGCGATTATGGCTGCGACGGTCTCGGCAGAGCTGGCAAAGGCAGACGTCGGGCTGAGAGGGTTGAAGGAGGAAGTGGGGCCAAGCCTGCTCCACCTCAGCACCCCCACCCTGCTGCTCCCTCTTCTGGAAGGCTCTTGCCCAGGTAGCGGCATGGCTCGCTCCCTCCTTTTCCTTCAGGTCTCTGTAGAAGTGTCACCTTCTCGGAGGGCGCCGTCGCAACTGCTCTGAAACGGCCTCCTTCCCGGGTTACCCCACAAGCCACCAAGCCTCTGTTTTTCCTCCTCCCATGTATCACTCACTACCTGATGTCCTGATAGTCTTCCGTTTTTTTTTTGGTCTCCCCCATGAGCACTCGTGCCTGCTGAGGACAGGAGTCATCGCTGTCTGTGCTGCTCACTGTTAACCCCTGAGACTCGGGTCAGCTCGGCAAACGTCTGACGAATGTATGAACAAATGAGTGTGTGCGTGAAATGCAATGACAGTCCCCACGGCTCTCAGCCTTTCCAAGGACGCTGTGCTTGTATCTCTTGTGTAAATTTCAGCCGCTGCTCTGAGAGGTAAGCTGAGAGGGGAGGGTTCTTCCTGTCAGCAGCCCACGTGGCTGAAGGGGCATCTCTCAAGGTCATGGACAGGCTCCCTGGGAGCTGGAGCACCAACTCAAATCCAAGGTCAACTGCCTGCCAAGCCACTCTAAAATGCCAGTTCCCTCAGGAAGCCTTCCACAGCCTTCCCAACTGGGAATTAACCTCTCGGCCTCAGTTTCCTCATCTGTGAAGTAGATATGTGAGAAGCAGGTGAGCCTTGATGACAATACTAATAAAAACGGTTACTATCGAAAGTACTTATTGGCAATGCTCGCTCATCATATGCCAGGCCCCATGAGAAGCCCTGGCCTGCACTGACTCATCATTCTTCACTATGACTAGTAGAGCTGTTATTATCCCCATTTTACAGACGCAGAATCTGAGGAACGGAGAGGCGAATTAACTCGTCAAAGGTCACGCAGCTCAGAGAAAGCTTTGTAAATAACAGAAGACCGTAGGTAGAACTATTGGGGTACCTCTGTCTACCCCAAAGGGTACAGAGGTGTTGTCCTTACCCTATATAGCCCAGCCCTGACCAGGTGAGGAGGAGAAGGCTGCCAACATTTCAAGAACGAGAGGGACTCTGGGAGGGGGACGACTGTGCCTGGCCCGACTTCCCCCAGGATTCCGTGTGGGCCTCCACCCAGGGACCAGGCTGGCCCATGTTAAGACTTCCAGGTGCTGTTGACCTCAGTCTCCTTGGGAGGGGTGGAGTGTCCTAGACACCTCTCTCACATGAGTCAGGAGGGCCAGGCTGCGGTCAGATTCGTGTCCTATGACCTTGGTACCTTCCCTCTCTGGACCTCAGTTTCCTTATCTGGAAAAGGGGGTGATAACCCTGGCCCTGATAGTTAAAGGAATTATATAGGCTGAGCAATGATGGACCAAGGTGAGGTCCAACTGCTACTGTGCTTATTACTAAAATAGAAACTTCTGAGGGGCAGGGGCCCGGCTGGGGGGTTCTAACCCTGGATCTTTAGACCGAGGGGGTCCTCCAGCCACAGGTGGTACTATTACCCTCCCATTTACCCACAGTGATGCTAAGGCTTAAAGGGGCCAAATCAGCTGTCTACAGGCACACAGCGGCCCCACCCTGGCTTCTGCAGATGGGTGTCAAATGTTTAAAAAAGCCTCAGTTACGAGGCTTTTGTTGCTGGCGAGGAAAGGTCTCTGGGGCAGGGAGGAAGTGAGGCTCCGGTATTTCCTTTGTGGGAGGCTTTGCTGCGACAGTCATCTTTCTGGGGGAAGGGGTCCCCGAGGCCTGCGGCTAGGTTCAAGACAGAGGGTGTCATCAGGCTACAGTGGTCCCCAAATCAGCTGGAGGACATACATAGGACAGGTGGGTCCCAGCTCTGGCCAGAGTGTTGGTCATGGGAGGAGTACAGGCAGCGTGAGAAGGTGAAGCTTCCAGAAGAGGAACCCACTTTTAGTAGGGCTACTGGGGCCCGCCCACCTGCATGTCCTCCCTGGAGACTGACGTGGCTGGGCTGGAGCAGTACCGGCCTGGAGCTGCGAGCGTGTTCTAATGATCCGCGGCTCCTGCTCCCCGAGCCTCCAGTGTTCCTGGCCCCTAGACGCCCTAGCAAATCCTCCGTCCCCCACCTTCCTCCTGTTCCCACCTCAGGCCGAGAAGGGGACCACAGCTCCCCACCACCCTGGGCAATCCCCACCCCAAGGCCCAGATAACTCCGCCTCTGGTGTCTTAACATCCCACCTCACCCGCCCCCGCTCTGCCCAGGAAACTTCAGAGCTCACCACAGCTTCCTGCCTCTGAGGGTGTCGGGCGGCAGGCAAGGCTGCTGGGCCATGGGTGCAAACAGCTCCCGCCCCCTTCACCTTCGAGCCTTGGGAGCTCTGTCACCCCCCCCCATTCACCCTCCCGCTGCTTTCGTGTCTGTAACTGTTTCTGCGGGATGGAGACAGGTAGCCAGACTGGCCTCCCCCGTGGGCTGCTGTGGCCCAGGTCCTGGGAGTGAATGAAGTCCAGCCTCCCAGGGGGCCACCCGTCCCAGGGCTCTGGTCATCAGTGGTTGGAAAGATGCCACACTGTACCCCACCTCCTCCCACCCTTGCCATGGGGTCTAGCCCATTGGGTTCTAGAACCTTCTACAACAACCTTTATTAGATTCATCTCTTGCTCGCCTACTCTCTTTCTGTGGTCACCTAGTCAATCTTTTCTGCCACGTTCTCCTGATATCTGTCCACCTCATGGGTAGAGACAGACATCGCTGTTAGCACAGAGGACCTCTCCAGGGGCGTCTCTGCGTTCAGACTTATCCTTCACCCACGGCACAGTCGTCCCACAAGCCTCGCTCTAGGACGAGTGCTGTGCTGGGCACTGGCTTGTGGAAGACGAAGGGCCCAGTCTTTCCTTCGCGCTCTTCCTGACAGCGGGCTTCCCAGGTGAGGACCGGTCACAGCGGGACACCCCTGAGGAGGGAGCTGTCACAGTTCTTCCTTCCTTCCCTGCACTGTCCTGCTGCCTGTGGGGACTGCTAGGAAGAGTCATGCTGAGAAACGGGTGGGGGTTAACAAATCACAATGACAACACAGCTCTCCTTGAGAGCCAGCCCCAGGGTGAGGCGCTGCCCGTCGCCTGGGCCTGCTGTATTGCTCAGGACGATTTTAGTCCTGATTACATGTGAGGAAACCAAGACCCAGGCGTCCCCATGACACCTGGCCAAGGAGCCAGAATCTGACTCCAAAGCACAAGGAGGGACTGTCACTGTCCGGGGCCATAGCGCAGGTGACGAAGTTCTCTCCATCCCTACCGAAGCAGCTCTTAGAGCAAATCCGTTCTTACACCAAGTAGAAGCTTTCCAGAACCTTCACATGGCAACCTACACTGACATGTTCTTTGAGCACCTTTCTCTGGGTGAGACCAGAAAGACCAGAAGTCCAGCGCCGGGTGTGATAGAGCAGGCTTAGGTGAACAGTGAACCCTGGGGACCTGACGGGAGATGCCCTGAGGGAAATCCCGGACTCTTCCGGCCCCACCCACAATGTTAATGAACCTGTCCCCCCTTCCCGGACAGGAAACATGTGAAACCGAGAGTCCCAGACACACCAGGGTTCTTACTGCTCTTGTGGCCACACCCTCAGGAATTCCTCAGAAGCCTTTAGCTTTCCCAGTTCACCCATGGGAGGCTTGGCCTCGAGTTCTGGGAGCAGCCCTGCCGGGCCCTCGTCTAACAAGAGGGGGAGGTCCACAGAGGCCACTGCATGGAAGGTGGGAACACACCCATACAGCAAAGCCTGCCAAAGGCAGGAACAGAAGAGGGGTCTGGGGCAGGGATAGCCCCTCCCCATCCTCTCCAGGTGTTGCGAGAGATGCTACTGGCAGCTCTGGACGAGGCTGGATTTTGGCTCCAAGACCAGAGACTTCACCTCATATATACAAGGCTTGTCTGGGGAAGGGGCACCCGATGACAAGGTTCTGTATAAGTCACTAAACACTGAGTCACAGGTCACTAAACACTGTGTCATGGAGGTAGGGGTGAGGCCTCAGCTGGGGATCCTGACCTATGCTCCCCAATGTTGACTCAGTCCAGAGGGGAGCCAGGGCAAGATGGAAGCTCTCTGAGGACAGACAGTTCCACCCACCAGTGTATCACCCCAATCCTCTTACTGGTCTGCTTTTCCCACCCATCCCCCAACAACGAGGACTCAGGACTAACGCAAGCAGCATGCATCCACTAGGAGCTGCAGGTAGACGCTCTCATTCCAAGAGCTCTGTTCCTTTCTCAGTGCCTGGTTTCTTCCAGGAAACCAACAAGGCACAGAACTGTAGCCACAAAATCCTAAAACCACAGGCTCAGAATTTCGGAGCGCAAAATACCAGAATCCCGTACTGTAGCCCATGGAATCCCAGAAGTGTGGGAATCAAAATTTTCATCCATGGGAACCTGAGCTTCAGGACCGTCTGCCACAGACTTTCGGAGTCACAAGCTCTGATCTGTTGCCCAGAGCATTCTAGAAGCATAGGACTCAGAAATGTTGCCCACGGACTCCATACAAGAGGACTCAAATCTACAGCCCACACAATCTTAAGAGACCATAGCAGGTCGCACGAAATCTGGGCACCACAGGAAGCAGAAAGAAACCTACAGGATTTTCTAGAACCACAGGGGAGGGACGAAGCAGAGGGCTCTCAGCACATGAGCGCTGGGTGGTGGCCCAGAAGCTCACCGTGTCCAAATTCTCTCCTTTTACAGATGGGGCGACTGAGGCCCAGGAGGCTGAGAGGGCCACCAAGCCGGCGCCTCTCTGCGGCCCCCAGGAGTAATGGGCTGTCAGCACCCCGCGGAGGCTGGCGGCCAGGGATGCCCAGATGGGAGACACCGTGCGGGCGGCCTCGGGGACCCTCCGCGCGCAGCCGCACTCACCGGCAGTGTCGTAGAGGTTCAGGGTCACCTCCTTGCTGCCCACTGTCACGCTGGCCGTGTATTTCTCGAATACGGATGGGGCGTAATGCTGTTGATGAAGGAGTCAGGTTGGTTCTTAGGGATGTGGCGGGGTCCTGGGGTCCAGCTGGACTCCTCCCCACTTTCCACCGTCGCCCCATCCAGCTCGGCTCCCCCACCCCCTGGGCTCTGGAATTCCCAAGGGAGACCCCCAGGGAAGCGGCCGACTTTCCCCGAGCAAGACGCCGGGGACCCGGGGTCCGAGCTTGGGGTGCAGGCCCTTGTCCCCAGTGGTCCCGAGCCCGACCCCCGCAGCCTACCCGCCTCCGGCACCCCGGAGGGCCTCACCTCGGGGAAGGAGCCCTGGCTGTACACCATGAGTAGCGAAGTCTTGCCGCATCCTCCGTCGCCCACGATCACGATTTTCAGCTCTTTCCTGCCCGGGCCCGGGGCGGCGGTCGGGGCCGGGGTCTCTGGGGCGTCCATAGCCGGGAACCCGCGGCACTGGCAGCAGCGCGCGGGGCAGAGCCCTGGGGTTGAGAGATCCGAGGCGGGGGCGGGACCCAGGGGAGGGGCTAGAAGAAGCCCCGCCCCCTTCGAGCCGGCACCGCCTCCGCCAGGCAGCCACCCGGGCCGACCTCCCAGCCTGCTTCCTTCCTGCTAAGGTACAAGCCCGGGACGTACACCTCTCATTCAGGGGGAAACTGAGGCAACTGAGAAACGGGATGCTTAGCTGCAAGCGCATCATGGCGTGGCCCCCACCGTCAAGACCCGATCCTTTCCGCGGCTCCTCGCCGGCCACCCCTGATTGGCAGGCTCGGTAGGAGCTCTCTGATTGGCCGGCTTGGCCTCCTACACCAGACAGGGACTCTTTGATTGGCGGACCGACCTCCCTCCCCCAGCACCTGGGTTCGAGGAGCTTTGGTGTCAAGCTCTGGGAAAAGTCCCTCCGCTTTGCCCCGCCCCAGTTGTGTGGCCCGGGACAAGTCAGCCTGTGACCTGTTTCCTCACAAGAGGTAGGTTGGTGTTACCAGGGAAGATGCTGGCACGGGGTTGCGGTCTACGCACCTAGTCTGGCCCTCCCGGCGCCTGTACGCTTGTGGGTTAGGGGTGGAGAACAGCGGTTCCGCTTACCTTCCCCCACCTCCCCTCCCTAGGGACGGAAAGTGGCCTTCTGGCGCCCCCTGCCGGGCGATCGCCTCGGCGAGGGCGGCAGGTGAGCCGCCCCAAACCACGCGAGGAGACTCCAAGGAACAGAAGCATAAACCCAGCAAGACACCTTCAGGGGACGGGGAAGGCCAGAGTAGCTCTAGTGGAAATCAGCTGTGCCCCCTCCCCGCCCCACACCGGTCAACTCTGGAGACTGATAAGCCGTATCCCCACCCATAAATATAACTGTTCTCCGGCCAGCAGCCACACATCTCCCAGTCCCCTGACCAAAACAACTATTCACTGAGCACTCACTAGGTTCAAGGACCACCGGGAGGGCTAGCTGCGAGCACCGGTCCCCCATCCCTTCCCCTCTCTTCGACCCTGGGCTGACTTCCTTTGCACAGGTCAGGAGTGGCAAGGACCCCTGGAGCAGTTGAGCAGCAGGCAGGCCCACGCTGGGGCATGGCCAAGTGAGCGAGCAGGGTCCTCCCAGCTGGGGCGGGACCTCTGGTAGTTTCCTCAGAGAGGGGCTGGCAGGACTCAGGATCTTCTTGCCTCTTCCCCACCTGGAGATTCCCAATTTCAAGTTCGCAGCAAAGATGAGGTAAAACTTTACTTCAGGGAGGAAACTGCCAACCTGGCAGTTCCATACAAGCCAGGGTCGTTTTCAGCGGACGCAAGACGCGGCCTGACCACCAGAGGGCAGCAGCGACCGCCTGTGGAAGCCTCAAGCGAGCCGGAGCTGGGAAGAGGCGGTAAGGTCCCTTTCCAGGTTGTTGAGGGGAAGGCCAGCCAGAGGACACCGGCTGGGTCAGGCACCCCTAGACAAATTTACAGCAACTCATTCATTCATTTTTTTGCAACACACGTTTATTGTGAGGCAGTTGTGTTCCTGCCTGTATGGAGCGCAGAGTCGCTGTTTAGAGACCAGAGCCCCTGTGGGGTTCAGAGGATGAGATGGCAGGGGAGGGGGAACCTGAAATAAGCTTGCAGCGTTGGGAGGACAGGTAAGGGGACAATGGGTTCCCACCCTAGGCCAATGAATGGTGGCCAGAAAACCCCAGCTGGTTAGGCAGTGGCTGGGGAGTGAGGGGAAAAAGACTCAATGCGGTTGTCTAGGTAACTGGGGTAACATCCCACAGGGCCTGGCTGCGGGGCTCAAGCAGGGTGTTGGGCAGAAGGCTCCTGGACAGGCCCAGCTAAAGCTGGGCCCTCAAGTTCTCTCTGCTGCAATTGGCTGGTGAGCATCCTGACGTTGGCAGGAAAAGAGGGGACTAGGTCCAGAGACATGTCAGGATTGACCCCAGGACCACAGGAAGAGGGGGGAAGATGGAAGAGGGCTGAGTGAGGGGGGAGCACTTACCTGTACAGCCATCTTCTCACCTCAGGCCTGACCCCCACAGCAGGGAGCCCAAAGCTCAGGGAGGGCCTGGGAGAGTTAAGAGTAAAGGGAGTCTGCCTCATTCTCTGGGGAGAACTCACTTAGAAAGGTCACCCCACTCTGAGTAAACAAGCTCACCCAAAACTGGGTTAACCTCACGAGCCTGTGGGAAGGCTCTTGAATATCCCCAAAATAATCAGACCTCAGTTTCCACTTTCTCCATCTGAGTAATGGGGCTACAATTTTGACTCACGACAGAACCACTTACACAAAACTGAGAGGAGGGAGCAAAGGGAAAAGCGAGCCCTCCCAGGCCTGCCTGGGTCCAGGCAGGGCAGCCGACGCTGGCCCGGGCCTGCCCACCCACCCCTGCCAGGGCGAAAGCCTGACAGAACCCCAACCCCAGCCGGTTTGGAGCGTGTTTGATTTGGACCCAGCTCCAGTGGTGGTGTTGGGCTGGATCTGTAACTAAAAATACCTGGCAGCCAGGCCAGCTGCTCCGTGCTGCCTCAGAGGCAGCAGGGCCAGGGCGGGCCAGGTGAGGAGCTGGGCACACCCACGTGCCCAGGAGGCCCTGCTCCCTTACCTGCGAGAAGTTTCGAGGACCCAAGTCTTTCTATTGCAGGCATTCTTTTGGAATTCCTGGATTTGGAAAGGCAAAAAAGATGCTTAAAACTGGTTCTTGCCAGAGAGCTTGCTGGGATACAGAGGCCTCGGGGAGCTGGCCGGGTGGTGTTTGTGGAGTGGACTCATGTGGCCTGTGCCATAGTGAGGCCAGCTGAGCCCAGGACAGAAGGGACCAGAGATACTTCTGTCTTGTCAGGGCAGTGTGGCCAGCACAGGCTAGCATGGGGAAGTGAACGACAATGCCTGACTTCCACTCCCTGCCCCTACCCCCCAGAGCGGTCCCCCACTCCACGTGAGGCTGAAGAAACCGAGCCTGCATATACAAAGCTATTCTCTGGGGTCCCAGAGATGAGAAGTGGCCTGGGGAGTCACTGCCATACAAAGAGCGCCCCTCACAAAGCCAGATTCAGAAACAGCTCAAAAGATTATTGGCCAAGCACCTCCTCCGGCGGCATGCCGGGAGACCAGTGCTCCTGTAGGGGCAGGGAGCTGCCAGTTTGAGACAACACAGGACCCGGGTGGCCTTGAGAGTATGGATGGGGTGCCTCTCTCCACAATTCAGGCAGAGGCTGCATCTCCACCCAGAGGGTCCAAAAGGTCCCATGGCACCTAGGCCTCTTCGTGGGTGGGCCGGAAGAGGCGGGACCCTGGCGTCCAGTAGTAAAGCAGGTCCAGCCGCCTTCTGCCTGGGGACGCCCTTCCGCTGGCGTGGCCCTCTAGGCAGCCCCGCCCCTCGCTCCCTGGTGACCAGTGGGCGGGGCCGCCCTCGGCGCAAGGAGGAACACAGCCTGAGGACAGAGGCTGCCCTGTGTCCCTTCCAGCCCCCAGGGAGGTGATGGGGTGGGGAAGACCCAAAGAAAGAGGGGGTGAAAAAGAAATGGAAGCGAGGAGGAGGCAGGGTGGGGATGATCATTCCAGGTCATCGGGACACCTCTCCCCCTCCAAGAATCATACCCAGACCACAGTTTAGCACCTAATTGCTCCCTAATTGGTCCCAGGGAGGGAGTGGAAGAACTGGCTGTAGCTCTCCAGGCAGCAGCTGAAAGGGGAGGGTTTAAATCAACTATCTAACAATACGACGCCCAGAGATGAGAAGTGGCCTGGGGAGTCACTGCCATACAAAGAGCGCCCCTCACAAAGCCAGATTCAGAAACAGCTCAAAAGATTATTGGCCAAGCACCTCCTCCCGCGGCATGCCGGGAGACCAGTGCTCCTGGAGGGGCAGGGAGCTGCCAGTTTGAGACAACACAGGACCCGGATGGCCTTGAGAGTATGGATGGGGTGCCTCTCTCCACAATTCAGGCAGAGGCTGCATCTCCACCCAGAGGGTCCAAAAGGTCCCATGGCACCTAGGCCTCTTCGTGGGTGGGCCGGAAGAGGCGGGACCCTGGCGTCCAGTAGTAAAGCAGGTCCAGCCGCCTTCTGCCTGGGGACGCCCTTCCGCTGGCGTGGCCCTCTAGGCAGCCCCGCCCCTCGCTCCCTGGTGACCAGTGGGCGGGGCCGCCCTCGGCAAGGAGGAACACAGCCTGAGGACAGACGGGCTGCCCTGTCCCTTCCAGCCCCCAGGGAGGTGATGGGGTGGGGAAGACCCAAAGAAAGAGGGGGTGAAAAAGAAATGGAAGCGAGGAGGAGGCAGGGTGGGGATGATCATTCCAGGTCATCGGGACACCTCTCCCCCTCCAAGAATCATACCCAGACCACAGTTTAGCACCTAATTGCTCCCTAATTGGTCCCAGGGAGGGAGTGGAAGAACTGGCTGTAGCTCTCCAGGCAGCAGCTGAAAGGGGAGGGTTTAAATCAACTATCTAACAATCCGACGCCCACGGCAGGTAAAGGCCCACGGCAGGTAAAGACCCCCGCCCCCTGAGCCAGAAGGATTCCATCCAAAGGGGACAGGGGACACCCTCGGGCGGCAGGACGGTTACGTGAGGATCAGGAGGGTTGAATGGGCTCATCAGCGGCAGAGCTGAAGGTAAACCTCAGGTCTGCTGTAAGTATGGAAGAGGAGGCCTGTCAACTTTTACAAAGAGCCTTGCCCTGTCCCCCAACCCCCGGGAGAGGAAGACAGGTGCCAGGTGCAGTGAGGTGCACCCACGTTCCTCAAGCAAAGAACAAGATGGACCAAACCCAGCTTATCTGGTACTGGAGAGACCAACGCATGGCAGCTGAGAGCCAAGGAGCCAAGACACCACCAGGGTAACTTTCAACCACACGGCTTCCCCAGCTCCCGGCATGGAAGCCAGCAGACAGCTGGCATGGGAGGGAGCCCAAAATAACCCAGACAGCTGGGACCACGGGGTGCCATGGACACAGGCGCTGGGCTCTAAGTCAAGACACCTGGAGCCCTGTCCTGGCTGCTGCCGGTGACCTTGTGACCTTGGGTGAATCACGTATACTCTCAGAGGGTGGGTGACCCCAAATCCTGACTGATCAAGGAACAGCCTGTGGAGCTGGGGGCGGGCCACCATCCTGACTCAATACAAGCGGAAGAATGATGCTGGCTCTCTTCCCAGGGGAGCTAGTCTTCCCCTTTGCCCTGAGGCTTTGCCACGTGCTCTGGGGTAGGTCTGTGGGGGAGGAGCTCGCAAGCAGCCCAGCCCCCACTCCCAGCAGCCACATCGGAAAGGATGCCAACAGTGTGAAGCCTGAATGTGAGGCCGGCCCCTTTAATCGCACTTAATCTTCCCACCACCCTTTTCAGCATGCATCGTTATCGTTTTACACAGGAGACTCGCCCAAGGTCACCAGCACAGTGCACAGTCAAGCCCATGGCCACCCGACTTAGAGCCTCCCTTGATTAAGCCCCAAGATGCCCCCAACAGAAATTTCAGAGTTGAGCCCTACAGCTCCCCCAGTCCTCAGTTTAACCTTCACACTAGGGGGCAGGAGATAAAAGTGAGCAGGGCTGATCTGCGGCCCAAAGCCCAAACGGGGGAAAGGCAGTGTGATCAGTGGCACCTGGGCCCAAATGGTTCATCAAAGTCATCACATACTAAAGAACACATGGGGGAAGGGTCAGAGATCAAGGGCCGCACTGTCTCCAGCTGGGGAGCTTCCTGGAGTCAGGATGGAAAAGTGAGCAGCTTGTTAGGAGCTGCCAGTATTACGAAGCCACCTATTCTGCCGAGCACCGAGCTCGCATCCTCTTCACGACACCCCAGGTGTTACCTAGTCCAAAAGTTCTCAAAACGTGTCCCACATGACAGGAGGAGTACCACCTGGGAAACTCGTCAGGCCCCACCTACCGAATCAAACTGGAGGACTGGCCCGAATCGGTTCCCATGGGTGATTTGGCTGCACGCTCCAGTCTGAGAATCACTGACCGAGGGCCACGTATGCGATGGGCTCAGAGACTGTAGCGCGTACCAGGTGACTGCAGGTAAATAGCTACCCGGTTTGTGTGACGCTATTAACGGGGCTCCTTTTAGTGTGTGTGTGTGTGGGGGGGCGGGGATCGTGGGAATTCCCAGAAAGCATACGAGTCAAGAAACCAAGAAACCTCTTTTGCAGAAGAGGCTGGCCCGGATGACAGGCCCTGTGTTTCACCTCCCTAGCAGCCAGACATCGGAGTGGAAGAGGCCAGCTCAGTCACCCCAGACACCCTCACTGGGGACAGGAAGGGACGGCTCTGCTTGGGCCCAGTAGGTGTCTTTCAGAGGCATCCACGACCCTCCCTGCCACAAAACACATCACTGGGAAGCTGTGCCTGGTGCAGCCTCTCCTAGGCTACTAAACCCAGCCAGGGAACTGCACGCCCCAAACTCCTGACAACAGAAGCTGACAGGCCAGGATGGATGGGCTCAGCAGGCAGCCCATTTCACACAGTCAGTCCCACACATCTGTGTGGGGGGAGGGGCCGCAGAACCAGCCTAGCGGGTTTGAGGTATCCGCCCTCCCAGGGCTCCTAGCCAAAGACCCCCAAATCTCCCTTCGAGTTAGGGAAAGGGCTCACACCTACCTTTGTGGGAGTTCTGTCAAATGGGGCCTGTTCCTGCAGTCCAGACAACGCTCCACACGGGTTACTGGCCTGCTGCCCTTCTCTGGCCAAGAGCCTGGGGTGGGGGTGGGAATTAGAGTATTTGTTAGGGAGTTGAAGGCCACAAACCAGACAAGAGCTCCTGGAGGGAACAGGAGCCTTACAATTCCGCCCCCCCCCCCTTCCCAGCTGCCAAGGCAGCCCTCACTCTGGAAAGGCTAAGAGGGGGGATGGTGGCTGAGTCACGAAGGTTCAGCCCGGGCGACGAGCAGCAGGAGGCGACTTATCTGCATTTCCAAAGGCCCGCCCCGGCCGCATCCCCTCCCCCCGAACGGCCAGAGTTGAGGGTTTACCCGGGATCCCTCCGCTTCGGGGGGGAGGGGACCCCGGGGAAGGCCCATTCGGCCTTCCCAGGCCCCAACCCCCACTTCAGCCTCTAGAGGACCCGGTTGGAGGGCGTGCCCTGGATGACCAGATCCGGGCGTCGGCGGCCTCCGAGACGGCCTCACGCCCAAAGTGGGGACAAAGGGGGCCCCCAAGCCTCGGGCTCGGCTATCGAAAGGCGGTCGGGAGCTAGACCTGAGCGCCGAGGCCCGGGCGTGCAGCCTGGGCTCGGGGCCGGGCCTCGAGGGAGCGTTCCCCGGCCTCCGGAAGAGCCGGTCGGGGTCAAGGGGCGGCCTCGAGGCCCCAACCGGCCGCGGGGCCCTTTGCTACTGGCTCCCGCGCG